TTAACAGTTTTTTTGTTGAGTCTTTGGGGTTTTCTGTGTACACTATCATATCATTTGCACATAACAACAGTTTACCCATCTCTTTGTCGATGTGGATGCCTTCTCTTGTCATACTGCCCTAGCAAATACTTCCAATGCCATATTAAACAGAAGTGGTGAACGTGGGCATCCTTGTCTGATCCCTGTTTGCAAGAAAAATGCTTTTAGTCTTCCTTCATTGAGAATGCTGTTGGCTCTTGGTTTTGCCTATAAACTTTTCACTGTGTTGAAGAAAATCCTTTCTATTCCAATTTTGCTGAATGTCTTTATCCGGAAGGGTGTTGTATTTTGTCAGACGCCTTTTCTGCATCAGTTGCTAAAATCACATGGTTTTTGCTATTTACATGTTAATATAGTGAATTACGCTTTTTGTTTTTCTTATGTTGAACCATCCCTGCATAACTGTTATGAAACCCACTTGGTCATAATGAATTTTTTTTATATGCTTTGGGATTCTATTGGATAGGACTTCGTTAAGGATTTTTGCATTTACATTCATGAGAGATACTGGTCTGTAACCAGTAATAAAAAAGGCGGGGGGAGAAGCCTTTTCTTTAAAAAATTCTCTTTTTATTATTATTTCTTTGTGTGTGAAAACAGTATTACATATACCATGAACTGCTACAAAAACAAACAGATCTGTCCTGTTGTCGTTGTTATGTGCCATCAAGTCACCTGCGACTCATAGCAACCCTATGTACAATAACTCTACACTCTCCTGTGCCAATCTCATTGCTTCCGACACACCTACCCCCATTACCCCAGTCACTGAATCAATCCATCTCATCATAGAGGGTCTTCCTCTCCTGCGCTGTCCCTCCACTCTCCCAAGCATGACTTCCCTCTCCAAGGACTGGTCCCTGCTTGCAACATGTCCAAAGTATGTCGGATGAAGCTTCAGAATCCTTGTATCAAAGGAGCAGCCTGATTTTATCCTCTCCAGGACAAACCTGTTCATTAGCCTATGGCTTGTATCAGGCACACCTTGGTCTCCAGAGTGACATCATTGCTCTTCAGTACTTTGGAGCAGTCTCTGACAGCTGACTTTCCCATCGCCAATACATCTTTTAATTTCCTGGCTGCTGGTGCCAAGAGTGTTGATTGTGCAGCCAAGTAAACTAAAGCTGTTAACAATCTCAATCTTTCACCATCTATCATGCTGGTGCCCACTGGCCCAGTGGTGAGAATCTTTGTTTTCTTAATATTGAGTCTTACTCCATATTGAAGGCTGCAGTCCTTGACCTTCTGCAGCAAATGCTTCAGGCCCTACTCAGTTTCAGCAAGCAGGGTTGTGTTATTTACATAACCCAGATTGTTAATGAATCTTCATCCAATCCTGATGCCATATTTCTCTTGGAGATGCTGAAATCAGGCTGCTTTTTAGAGGTAAGAATTTTTTCTGACATACTTTGGGTATGTTGCCAGGAAGAACTAACCCTTGGAGAAGGACATCATGTTTAGAAGGGTGGACAGACAGTGCAAGAGAAAATGATCTTTGATAAGATGGACTGACTCAGTGACTGGCTTAACAGGAGTAGGTGTGTCGGAGACAATGAAGATAACTCAGGACAGAACAGGGTTCAGAGCTGTTGTTCACTGGGTCACTAGGAGTAGTTACTCAATGGTACATAACAACAACAATGTCCTACCCTAGTTATTATGTTAACTCTAGGGTACCATAAAGCTTTCCTGTACATTACTGATACTGTCCCTTATTGCTAGATAAATACCACAAAAATAAATAAAACAAAACAAAAAATTAGGCAGAGCAGTTTAGAAAAACAATTACTGGAAAGCTACCCAGCTCTACAATAGATGAAATGGTAACTGCTCCAGTAAGTAAATACTCTCAGTTCATTAATTAATAAGTTAGGTCAATTCATTGTAAAACCTAACTATATTCCTTTTTTGTCATTTTCTTTTACCTACTCAAATGTTTTTCCATTACATAACCTAACTCTACATATCCCAGAGTAAGGTAACTTTCCTGTTGATATTTACAAATCTTTAAATTTTTTATAAACTGACTGAGAAGTTGTGGTGCATTCATACAATGGAATACTATGCAGCACACAGGAGCAATAATTTTGTAAATTACTACCTACACTGGGAGGGACTGGAGAGCATTATGCTGAGTGAACTAACTCAGTCCCACAAGGACAAATATGGTATAAAAACATTATTTCAGAATGAGCATGAGGGTGCACGGTCAGGGAGATGGTGCAAATAGAAGGGTGAGGATGGAGGGTTAGAGTTTGCACAATTTGATGGGTGGGTGGGGTGAAGGAAACAGGAAGGATCTTTTGTGAAAAACAATGTATTCTTTGTAAATAAATCAGAATAAAACTTAAAATTATGAGATGTTTGCTCAAAGGAATTTGGCCTCATACCTTAGCTAAGTCTCTCTAGTCTGCTGAGTTGCTCCTTCTCATTCAGCTTTATCTATTCACATTCTCATAATAACAAGATCAGTGAAGCAAAGCACTCAAGCAACGGCCTTTAACCTCAGTTAGACAGCGTCCAACTACCAATGTGTCAACAGCCTTTAAACAAGTTAGACAGCGCCCGACTACCAATGTGTCAATGGTCTTTAAAACTTGTCAAGACTGCATGGTGCCACTGTTGTAGAATGGGACTGACATCAGGGTTGGGGTAAGACCGAGAAAAACTGGATAAATTATGTACAGTGCATGAAACAGATGAGGGAGAGAACAGTTTAAAAGCAATATATGATAGGGTATTACAGTTATCACAAGAGTCCAGAATTAAGGTTGCATAGTGGAGTGTACTCGAGGCAGGGACGTGTGTGTGTGTGTGTGTGTGTGTGGTGTATGTATTGTATACCAATGAAAGAATTTTTCTTTTACTTTTCAAAGAGAGGAGCGAACTGGGGGGCGGGGGGCGCAGGGAGAAAACTGCAACAATCAATGAATGGAAATCCAAAACCAAAACGGTCAAGAACAAGCTGCCATTATCACAGAGCCATATCTAAAAGACCCATCAAGTCACTCCTACGTGGGTACTCTAAGATCAGCTTGTTCTAAAAGTCAGGTCATACAAATATTAAGGTCATCATCTCAACTCTTAGCGGTGACCAAGTTTCTAGGAAACGTACTTACTTACTATTACCTTTAAAGTAACAACAGAGACACAGATTGTAGGATCCTGTCTGTCCAGTCTGGCCTGCAGTCCGAGCTATGACTAGTAAGGAAGGCTCTCAGGAGGACTGATCAGTAGATGAGGTAGACTAGTAGACTGGGCAACAGACTGGATAGCAAATGAGAGGACTGAAGACCACCAGGCAAAACCATCTACGATCTCTCTTTATGCTATACGGAATGACAAGGAGTTGTGTATATAATAAGAAGCTATTATAACCCTTAGGAAGCAGAAAGGTGAGGCAAAGACAAGAAAAAGAGACAGAGAAAGGAGGTTGGGAATCTCCTAAGAGTTGTAACACAACTCAAAGGCTCTGAAGACTGAAGACAGCAATAGGTCCAGAAGGGGCTCTGTATCATCCAGTGGCAATGGGAAGGATGGCTGAGGCACCTGTGCTGAGGCCGGAGAGGGCTGTCCCACACTGAATGAGAACATCCCCTTGGTGGTGGTTGGGGTGTTGTTGTTAGGGGTTGTCAACTACAACTCATCATGATCTTAGGAATAACACAGAGCTCCCTGTCCTCCCCTGCACCATTTTCACAACCAAATATGTTCATACCCACTGTTGCAGTCTCTGTGTCAAATCCTGTCCTTGGCAGTCTTCCTCTCCTACACGGACCCTCTACCTTTTCCAGCATGGGATCCTTTTCCAAGGACCAAGCTCCTCCTGACAACATGCCCGAAATACGTGACACCAAGTTCACCACCCTGACTCTAAGGAGCATCCTAGTTACACTTCCTCCCAGACAGACATGCTTGTTCATCTGGCATGCCATGATTCAATCCTCTTACCAATCCTGATCTTGTTACTAATCTTGATCTTGTTATGGGCTCTGTTCCGTGTGATTAACTGCCTCTGAAAATCATCTACGGCTCAGTTCCAACGCTCTGGTACACAACAACAAATCCTGATCTTGTTACCGTCTTAATTGATCATTTAACTATAAGTATGCTCTGTGAGTTCTGTGTGGTCAGTGCAACTTAGAAGAGAAGCAGGGAGTGCTCTGAGAAGGACAGATGGGGTCGGAATTGGTAAAAAGCCTCAAGAATGGAGGAAGGCTGTCTACCCTCCACCTCCAAGAACTCAGATGTGGAGTCATCCTGGTCAGGCAGCCCTGAAATCAGGGGCTCCCAGTGCTAACTGCTCACACTCACACAGCCTGTCCCATTCTCCGCAGCACCTACAGTCGGTGTGCCTATCCCGTAGCACAGACCCTCTTACTGTGATGGTGACAGCAGCACTAACACCTCCTGAGCTCGTCCCTGAGGCATGGCATAGGCCACACCTCCTGACCACAGGCCCATATCACCCAGGCGATGAGCCAGGTTCCTAAAGACTGAGACTGAGCACAAATAGAGCCTATCGCCGGACACACAAGCTAAAGGCAAAGGGCAGTGAGGGCTCTTCATCTTCGGGAGAGCCCTGTGGGGTAGCCATCACCTTGTGTCCTCAGGAGATCCGTGAGCTAGCTGTAACCCTATGTAGATCACCCATGACTGGAGAGAGAAGACGTACAAATGTCAACAACAAGCGGCTGCTACTGGCCACAGAAAGCAAGCAATTCCTAGTCTTGCTATTAGCATTCTTATCAACACCATTATCTATGTCAACCTACAGCTTAAAAGAAAAAGCTCAAGAGGCTTATTTTCATGAATGTGTATGAGAAGACAAACACTTCTCTGATGGATATAAAGAGCCCCAACAGGCCGAGGCAGAGAGCTAACTCCTGGAGACACTCAGGTGGCTGGCCTGCAGAGCCTGTGATTAAAGCTGCACCATGCTCCCCAGAGCCACGTCCCACCTTCTGAGCCCGATCAGGCTCTGACATGCTCTCTTTGGAAGTCCTGCTGTCCTCCGTGGGAAAGGCTGCTGCCTGCTCCACCCCATGGTCATCATCTTCGTCCAGATCCTCAGAGTCCTCTTCATCAGAGTCCATCTCTAGACTCTCCCCATTCACATGGAGGCCGCTGTCCCCCAGGTCCTTCTCATCCTGGAAGAGGAGCAGATGGGCACACAAGGCAGGACCACTGGGCATCAACAGCCTTTCCCAGGGCCTCGCCACACACGGAAGGACTCTGAGAGGCACGCAGTAAATGAAGACGGCAGGGTAGGACCAGATGAAGCTCCCATGACCCACCTTGACATGAAGCTGTGTCTCCCAGAGCAGGGGGTTTTAGGGTTTGAGCTTTTTCCACAAGTACTAAGATTACTGATGACCTCACACAACAGGAAGAAAGGTCATCCAACTACTGATGACCTCACACCATGCCCTCTGACCAGACAGTGCCTGGGCATAGGACATTCCCCAGCACACGGGCAGACGGCACCAGTGTCAGCCTTACCTGGGAACCCACAGTGGAATGAGTTATACTCTTAAACATCTCAATCACCGTCCTCTGTTTTAATACTTTGGTCTTTTTCTTAGGAACTAGGCTATAGGTTCCCATTCTTCGTTTTTTCTTCCGAGATACTGCAGCTGCTAAGACAAAAGGCAAGCAAGCTAAAAAAAAGTCAAAAGGGGACAAGAGAGGAGAAGAAATACCATTCAAATGGCTTTAAAGGCAGGTGACCATGTACAAAGCTTGTTACCAAAACCACTAGCAAACACCACCATCATGTCTGAGGCCACACACACCACAGCATGCAGGGCAAAAATGAGCACTGCGCACTGCCTTGTCTGCTGGCTGCATGGGCGGCTGACGGGCCATCCCCAGTCACCTGTTCCACCCGGTGACTCCACTGAACGGGAGCACCACCATCAGGGAACTCAACAGCAGTGCCAGGGACCCAGCAAGATGCCATGAATGCATCGCTGCTGTCACAGCACGTCCCTCAGCTGACCAGCACACCTAAGAGTGTGTGAGCAAGAAAGCTGGGCAAGGACACAAGCTTGCAGCTGGGAGCCTTCCTGAGACTCACATTCCCATCAACCAAGTGTTCCCGGTGGATGGGCTTTAGAGAATGGGGCCTCAATAGTATTTTATTTTAAAAGTTTTGAGGTTTGAAATAAAATCTGGCCATCACTGCTTTGACAAAGAATTGTGTTAAAGTGCAGAGAGGAAATCACAATTCAGTAAAATGTAGACAAAGAATTTATACAAAGGCAGATAGTATGAGCAAGAGGGACCAGGGTATCCAAAGGAAAGGGACACAGACACTGACAGGCAGGCAGACAGATGGGCAAGGCGTGCATGTGGGGCAGCAGGCCACATGCACAGCCTCCTGGCCTCAGGGAAGGTTTGGATGGGTGGGTGATGCACACAGCTGTGACGGGGTGGGTAAGTGCGTACTCATCACTGAGAACACCCTCCAAGAAGACCTCCATGTCCAGGGTTGTCTGTTGTTACACCTGGGGCTACAATCCCATTCTGAGTCAGCGTTACATTTTAAAACAGGCCCTCTGTGAGTCTCTCTGCTTTAAAATACCACACACACTTTCACTTATTTGCTCCTTCTACCACACAGCTGGCTACCACACAGCTGGCAACACCTACTCCTGCTGGACCGCCAGTTCACATGAGCCAATGAGGAAGGCAGGACAGTGGTCAGTGTGCAATTGATGCCTGGAGGGAAGTAGGGGAGGGGTGCAGAGTGTATAGGGCCTGGCAGTGGCTGAGGGGGTAAGGGAGCAGGAAACTGGTGAAGGTGTTCAGATGGGCAGGGACACATGGAAATCTATTAGTAGAAACTGGTCCACTGAGGGGGTCCAGAAAAACCACAGTTTAGGGAGGACAGGGCCTCAACAGTCCAGGTGAAAACTCCTAACATGACAACTTCAACTATCAAGTGGCAGACAAAAATCACCACTTGTCTTCACAGGACTTAAAGTGAACATGGGCGAGACTCTACTGGATTACAGATGAGTAAGGAACCAAGGGTGGGCACACAGGCCTCCTCCTAGAGCCCAAGGCCACCCAGACATTAGTCACTCCACAGTGAGGGGTCTGCAAACACACCACCCACAATGACACGTGTTTAGGAGTGACAGTGGGACAGGAATTAGGCCAGTACCTTCAAAAATTGAAAGGTCAAGACAAGTGAAGCTAAAGAATGTCCTGCACTGATGGAGATACAGAAGCTAAAACCACTAAGAGTGGAGTGTGTGCCTCTGGGCTAGGTTAACCGGGCATGGGAGTGTGGGTGTGTGCATGTGCATGGATACATGTGTGTGCAAGTGTGTTGGAAGAGTGGAAAGATTAGCTGCCCTGGGCTGCGGGGAGTGTAGGAGGTGTGTTGGAAGGTGAGTGGACCCGTGTTTTCCTTCTGTGACAAAGGTGTGGGTGGGTGGGTGTATGCACGTGTACATGCGCGCTGTCGAAGCTGCTGGCACAAAAGGTCAACTAAAGAGCCAGACAACGTGTCCAGATGAGAGAGAACTGAAGGCATCTTGCAGGACATGAGCCTAACGCACACCACAGCCTCACAACCTGACAGCAGAACTAGATAGAAGCCAGCAGTGGCCACAACTGACCATTCTCATCAGAGTCATGGCTGATGGACCAAGACAGAACAGAGCTGGCATTTTCCCAGTGCCACAGAGAAGGCATACTTACTACCATATTGACTGGGAAGGAAAGGACTGAGACCACTAGCCTGGGATACCCTTTAAACCCTGAACCCAAACTAGCCCGTGAGGCCACCTGGAACTAAATAACAACAACATCACCCACACATGCTGTGCTACTTCTAAAATTCACCTCTAAGAGATCACCTGGTCAACAACCACATCAAAACAAAAATGATCGCGTAAAGAAACAAGGAAACAAGATGGACAGAAATGGAACAACCAGATGGGAGGAGGAGAATGTTCTGTAAGGGTGAATAGTGTTGTCAACTCAATGAACAACTGTGTAGAACCTGAAGGAGGACCTGAGTGCTGTGTAAGCCACACTGAGACCACATGCTTTCTCAGAAAGGCCTGAATTCCGGGGAGAGCACGCTCCTACTGCCCAGGGCACAACTATTGCTCTCAGGAAGCACAGCACCGTATTCGGAGGCTATACTCCTGAACAGCATTCACATGGGGGGAGAGTAGCCAGGTATGGAAAAGTGAGCAAAGTCTACCTAAGAATTCTCTGTAGAGTTTCTGTGTCTTTTCTGAAAAGTCTGATTATTTAAAAATAAAGGTTTTCAAGTCCAACATTATAGCCAGGTGACACTCACTTTAAAGTCTTCGAGGTCAGCAGACCCCCAGGTCTCTTTGGCTGCCCTCAACCACTATTTGCAGGAAAGCTGTCACAAACAAGCCTCTCCAGCTACACACCCCTCCCTTCTGCCTCCCCTGCCCTGACACTGCACCCACGACCCAAGCTCAGGGACTCCACTTATGAGAGGAAGAGGTCTGAGTGACCCTCACTCCCAGGTGGCTTGCCCTGCATCTTCTCATGCTGCCATGCAAGCAGCCTCCATCTCCTGCGAAAGCCTGTCCCCTCGTCCCACTGCTAGCACAGGTCACACAGACAAGTGGTGACAGAGCGAAGCCCAAGCTGCAGACCCCGTTAATCACAACCCTTCCCTGCACTGTGCTGCTCTGAGCCCATCACCCACATAGTCAGGCCAAGGGGAAGACCCTGAGGATGCACCTTCATCTTCCAAATGAACACAGACTCGGATTGTACAGCTCTAGGCAGGGTCCTCAACAGACACCTGACTCAGCTTACAAGTGCACCCAGCAGTGTCCCAGTGCAGTACATGCACATACAGCACCTCACACACCCTGCGAGCGGCAGCTCTACACCTACCTGTCTGGGACTTGGCGGTGGCCATGTAGCACTGGTTCTGAGGTAGCGACTGATGCAAGGGTGGGAACGGGGGTAATGGCTGCTGTCTCCCAAAGTCAGCCACGTTCCTGCTCATCTCCTCCTTCAGTTCCTTGTGGTCTCGGCCTTCACCAACTTCTCGGTGCTCCTTACTGGCTGCATGCTTCAAAACACAGACTATCAGTAACCATGATTCCACACAGGCACTCCACAGAAACAGCACATCCCAAAGCTCATGCCTTCTACCCACACTCCTTCAACTGAAAGGCACACCCTGGTGATAGAGGGAGCCCAGATCTAGGCCAGCAATTGGCACGTGCCACGTGCAGAGCCACAGGCCAGAGCGGAGGTCCTCAGCCTGACAACACCATCTCCGTTTCCCAAGGGAAAAAAGAAAAGGAGACGTTAAGAAGGAGAGAAGCTGCCAGAGAGCACACCTATGATCGTGGACTGAGAAGATGCTCTACTTGGCCCGGATAATTCAGCTAGACACATCCGTGGATGGGCAGCATTAAATACTTCGCAGAAGACCCTAACAGATTTTCCCTGGCTACTGTGTGCAAGCCTCTCAAACAATACTACATTCAAGCTCCTTTACTCAAATTTAACCATCTCCCCACCAGGCCTCCAGCCAATGGCCAGGTATACCATCACACCTGCTACCTGCTACCAAGTACACCATCACACACTGCTACCCTGACCCCTCACTGTCTCCACAGGGTCCTCAAGCCATCCCCAGTGCTTCTATATAGTCATGAACTCTGAGTGAGATGCCTCCCAAATCCAACTCCAAACCATCCCGCCCATGCTGGCTCAGAGCGACCCTCCTGAGAACTGGCCCCAGCTTTCTGGGCGTGTCTGTGCAGAAACAAAGTGCCACCTCACTCTCCTACAGAACTGCCAGCCCTTCCATTGTCAGCTGACCCTCCCAACCACTGCATCACCAGTGTTCCCATTCAACTCCCATTTATTGTGCACAGAGTAGGTGCCCTTCTGCCAGAGTCCAGTGACCACAAGGCTAACAAAAAAAAAAATGGATGGCAGAGACATTGCATGAAGAGGACTCGGAAGAGCTGTCACAGTGAGCTCTGGGTTCCATCAAGATCAGGTCCCCGGGGGAGGCCTGCAAAGCCAGGCCACAGGAACACAGCATCACCTGGAGTTTGGGGGTATTTGGACAGAGGTGCCAGAGGTGGTAAGGGAATGGTATCTCAGTCAGAACTCACGGCAGGTAACAGACAGCTGGACACACAGGCTACCGTGCAGTGGCACAGCACCAGAGCCTCACAGTGTCTGTCTGATCACCTCCATGTCTGTGGTTCCCACGAGGACAACAAAATAGAGGGCTACATGCCCCCTTAAGGCCCATGACAAGCCCACAGGACATGTAACAAGCACAGCTGAATAAAAGAGGGAACTAGCCAACAAAGACCAAACAGAAGCAAAGGAAAGAGGAATGAAGACTCCCAGCACCACTGCACCCAGAGGTGCTGGCACACAGTGCTAGGCTTGCTGGGCAAAGGAGAGCTGCAATAAAGGATGAGGCCAGAGCACATGACACCACAAAAACCTTTAGGACAGGACCTTAAGACTTCCATGCCATCGGAGGCATGGAGAAAATACCAGAAGTCAACCCAATTGTCTAAAGTGACACTGCTATGGCTTTCTGAAGATATGGTGGCATCACACATCACCCAGTAAGGGAGAAGCAAGCCCTGCGAGCACTACTGGTAGGTTCTTTTACAAAGAAACAAAATACTTCAGCCCTCAATGCTTCAGACAGTACAAAACAAGCCTCAGCTTTGCTCCTGTATTACTTGCCAGGGCACTCAGACCTCAGGGACACTGGGCACTTGGTTCCAGACCAGCATACAGACAGGGTCCAACGAATCTGCCTTCCTAGGCTCACCCTACCCTGTCGTCTCTCAAGTGTGTATTAGCACTGTGCATGAGCCTGAAGCACTGTGAGAACTGCCAGCATATGAAAGGAAGGAGTTAACACATGCGAAGGGGAAGGGACCAGCCCAGGGCTGCCACAGACACCACTGTGCGGCCAGCACAATCTAACGTGTGTCAGTGTCGTCTGTGTCCTGACAAAGCATTCCAGGTCCATGGAGGTGGAATCTCCCCACAGACAAGGAAGGTCCCCGGCAGGGTCTCATCTCTATCTCCACAGCACATGGATGGCACCTCTCTCCCTTGCGAAGAGGGGTCTGAAGCTGGGGAGAGATTGCCTGGGGCAGTGGCTCTATTCCACGTCAGGAGCATGAAGAGCAAAGAGTGACCTTGGATGAGCTAAGACAGAGCAAGTTCCTACTCTGGAATGAGGTGGGGCCCAGTGAATACAAACTAATCAGGAGTGGGACGCCAAATTGCAATGGACTTCACACTGGGCACCTTGGCCACAGCATATGCAGTGGGCAGTGTCAATGGTGGCTAAGACCGAGGGAAGGCAGTGGGAGTGGGGGCAGAGTGGGAGGGACAGGATCACCTAGACTGCTGGTCAGTGTGAAATCACAAAAAAGAGAGGCAAGCACCATGAGGAGAAGCACCAACCCAGGAGGAAAGGCTTCCCTGAAGGAGAGGTGCTGGAGACATGCCAGACCTCCACATCTGAGGAAGCAAATGAACACACCAGCCAGGCTTCGGCTGGAGAAGAAACAACACAATACAGAAGTTAAAAGAGTTCATCAGAGATCTTTGAGAAGAAAATAACATTCTCTAAACTAAAACCTCAACAAAAGGCATAAGCAGAAAGAATGTGAGGTGCAAGGAGATGAGCTGGAGGCCACCACAGAGCAGGCCCCACGAGAGGAGAACCTGAAAAAGAAATGAAGAGACAGAAGTCAGGCTGAGAGGACACACTGAGGGGGCCTTATCAGGACGCAGGGGCTGGGGGAGCTGCACCACAGCTTACTGGAGGGTACTAGGGGCACAGTGTGTGGTTCATCACAGCTCACCTGGGAAACCACAGCCCCCGGGGAAAAAGGAGAGAGACCACGTGGTGGCAACTGAGACAGGACAGTGGTGAGCAGCCAGGCTAGTGGGGCCCATGTCAGTCACATGGGCACAGCCCCCGTGGAGGCCAGCCTCCTGTTCACGCTGGAGGAGGCAGTCCTCAGCACAGCTCATGCCTCTCCTCTGTCATCCAGGGATCTACCCATGATCTCTCTACCGTTTCCCACAGATATCAAAGCCCCAGAGCAGAGGAGAACCTGCCCACATCATGGACGACAGCCTTGCTGGAGGACAAAGCTTCACACTGTCCTCACTGGTCACACCCCAGGAGCATCACCCACAGCACTGGCTCCACAGGCCCAAGGGATGTGCTGGACACCACAGCTCCCTCTAGCCCAGGCACACAACAGCAGAGAGCAGCAGGGGACACAGAACACTGGTAGATGCCTCACCAGGCCCAGCACAGACTTCGGCATGGTCTTCCGGGCACGGTGGACCTTGACATCTGGGCCTGGGGGCGCCGGTGCTGGCAGCGTCTTGTCCTCGGCATCCCGGCTCCCCTCCCCAAGCCTGGCGGGCACTGCAGCTTGCATCTGAGGAAAAGAGCCTGGAGTCCTTCCTTTTCCTGCTCCTCCCGGCAGGGTCTTGGCAGCATGGCCAGGGAGTGGGGGTGCCAAGGGGCCGCTAGTCCTCAGGGGCTGCCCCTGCATGGCCGGTTTGGCCAGGAAGAAGCCGTTGCTCCCAACAACTGCTGTCTGGGTGAGCTCGTCGGCTCGCACGTGGTTCTGCTTTCCCATGTCGGCCTCTCGTTCCGAAACCCCATTCTCCGCAATGCGAGCCGGCCTGTGGGTGCCCTCCTGCGAGCAGGCCTTCGCATTCTCCTGAGTGTGTCTTGCTGCATTTGTGTGGCTGCTGGCATCATTTTTGTCACAGGACCCGTTGGTTTCGCCATCTGCAGCCATGTGGGCCTCTCCTCCCTGCTTCTCTGCTAACCCTTCATCAGCAGCCATGGGTATGTCTGTGGGCAGAGTAAGGGGTGTCACCAAGAGAGCAAGCCCTTACTCCACCCAGCACCCCCACAATAAAGCTGACATTTCTGAAAGAGTCACTGAAGACTAACACATTCTTTGGGACTTAGCACGTGTTGAGACCTATGAGCATATAATTATGCCGTAAACAAGATAGTTGGCTGGCTAGGCATGGGGTAGATCCTGAAAGGGGCATGCACTCTGAGAGCAGGTGGCCATTTTCTGACCATTCACCCACCCATCAGGAGCCAGCTGGTGGTCCTGGCTGAGCAGCACACAGCAAAAGCTGGAGGGAGAGAAGGAGCACCCGTGAAAGGGTGGGTTAAGCCACAAGTTTGGCCAGAAGTAGCAACATTCTGTAGCCTCACATCTCTCAAGTGAAGCCCACAAACTGCTGATAAAAATGGAAACTGCTGATTGAGAGAACACAAGAACAAACGCTCACAAGTCATAAAAACATGAAAAGCATCTTCCTTTCAGCAGGTGAGTCGGTGAAAAGTCCCCAGCCTCTGGGTCCATGCTCCAAAAGAATTCAAAACCAATACCACCACCATCGATACACTCAGTACAATCCTATATAACAGGAGCGCCAAGATGTCAATCATTCTGGAAGCAGACTGCCACCTCTCTGTCCTTCAGAACAGGAGAAGCCATGTTTGAACAATCAACCTTTCAGTCAACAATCTCTAGGGTTCCTCCACAAGAGCTGGGCCTCCTCAAGACATGCACAGGGGTATTTGGACTCAGTCGTCAAAACAAACATCCACATCACAACAGAAGTCCCACACATCCATGCGACCACTTCACACACGAGACTCCTGCTTCACCAGACATGGTGCTAAGTCCCCACAAATCAGTCTATGGTATTCCCATCAAAATCCCAATTAGCACATACTGAGAATGCCACAAACTTACTCAATTAGCTCACACTTTTTTCCCTTCTCAAAAGAAGCACTGCCATGAAGTCTGTTCCAACTCACAGCGACCGTACTGGACAAAGCTGAACTGCCTCTACGGGGATTCTTCCCAGAACCAGACGGCCTCCCCTTTCTCCCATCGAATACACCACCTTCTGGTCAGCAGCCCTGTGCTTCACCGTTGCCCCTTTTTGGCTCTCACTGCTGTCAAGTCAGAACCAACACACAGTGACCACCCTTCGTGGTTCCAAGGCCCATCTTTCTCTCAAGGAATTGCTCACGGGGAATGTGAACCTGCAGAGAAACTCAACCTTTGGGTCAACAGCAAGTGCAACTCCCTGTGGACTGTACCATCGGCGTGTTCTTCCTTCTAACGCAGGTGTCACCATCCATAGTCACTCACAGGGCAGACGAACTACCCCATCGGGCACCACCATCAGGAAGAGCCTCACCTCGGTGACTCACAGGATAGGGGAGAAGTGTCCCACTGAGACTCAAGAACATAAGCCTTTACAGAAAAAAATAGATGGCATCTTTTTCCCACAGAATGGCTGGTGGGTTCAAATTACCAATCACAGAGAAAGACCCCAGTGCATTCACCAAGTCAAGTGAAGAACAGATTCTAACTCAGAGCCGGTCACACACATGCTGTGAGGTCAGAGAGAAGGCCTGTCAGGGCTTGCCTGACCAAGCTGGGGAAGCGCAGCATGGGATCCAGGGCAGCGAGGCAGCTCCCTCCCCACATAAAGCCCCAGGTCCCAGGACACTGCACACACAGGAAAGACACCACCTTCCTGCATACAGTCAGACTCAAGGGCAGCTTGTGAGGACCTGATCCCATACAGGGTGCCTCAGCACCTGAACACCGTTTCTTCACCTCAGGAGCCAGCCCAGATATGGAGAGGAGGTGCTGTGGAGCTCAAGTGGAAGACGGCAGTGCAGAGAGGTTGAGGTCTCCCCACACAGGTCAGGTTTCCCTGCCTGGCTGAGGTGTTCCTGCCCAGCCGAGCACTCCTGCAGGCGGAGTATGAACCATCAGAACACTGGGGCTGCCCAAGGACGTGGAGCGGCCCTGTCCCCAGGAGTGCAATGTGAAGGGTGCACAGTGGTACAAGCCCCCTCTGGAATTGGGGCCTCTTGAACTTCCAAATCCCCATCTCAGGTAGCTCTTCTATGTGTTCAAACATGTGTCTGGAAGACAGCAGAAGCCTGAGGAGAAGGCCTGGGGGACAGGTAGGTGGTGAAGGAAGAGGCCCAGCCTTACCGTCTTTGAGCAGCTCTGTCTTCATACAGGCGTCCTTCCCAGCCTCTCCCTTTGTCGGCACTGCCTGCTGAAAGACAGAAACCACTGTCATCCTGGTGGACAACAAGGTGACTGGGCAAGCAGGCCCACATCTGCAGTGCGAGTCAAAGTACAGAATCAGCCTCCAGTGTCTGGAGGACAGCACACAATCTGGCCATCCTCGGAGACAACCAGTGTGTCTTCATTGTTAGCAAAAATGGACAGGAGACTCAGCCACCTTTTTCGTAGTTAAAGCCATGACTCTTCCAGAACTTCTGAAATGTTCTCTCCCCTAAAAAGACACCAGAACCTTCTCAGAGCAGACCTTCTGCCATCCTCACGAACACCAACTGTGAACTCCGAAGAGTGAGTCATGGGGGCTCTAAGTGGTGGCTTTGCCCAACCCCATTCCCCTAAAAGACAACCCATGCCAAATGGTCATCTCAACAGCTTACAATAGCACATGTGCATCTATCACGATCCCCATGGGTCCTACTGGGCTCTGGCCACTATCAGTCCCTGGGTGGCACTATGTCACCAGTACCTAGGACTAAACACAGGGGGCAAGGGCTGCCTTCCCTGGAACTCACATGGAGTCACCTGCTCCCTTGGAGCAACTGACAGACCCCCAGGCCCATCAACCTCCAGCACAGAAACCCTTAGGGACTCCGTGAGCTGGAGAGCAGGAAGCCAGTCCATGTGAGAGCCACCAGCTTTCAGAAACTTTCTACAGTACAATAAAAATAAGATTTACTTTACAACCTACCATCTGAATGTTCAAAATATTTTTCCCCAGTTATATTTTGTTCTGTGCAATAAGGTAAATTCCTGATGTGGCCGTCACCTCCCTTCTTGGACAATCTGCCTGAGACGTTACCCCTAATCTTGTGGAGTCACTTTTGTCTTAACTGACACCCCAAAGGGTTTGTAACTCTGTCCAGACTGGTGGCCATTTTTTGGGCAAAGGGTAAAAATATGTGCTTTGTTATTCCTGTGTCTGGTGGCCAACCACCCCACTCTGGGTGTGTACTCTGTAGAACTGGTCAATCAACTGATATAAATGGCATCTTGGTCACTTGCTATGCAAATGAAGGGCCTGAAGTCTGCCCAGGAGAGACTGAGTGGTCAGTTTGTGGCCCTGCTGGAGGTTTGCTTAAGTATAAGTCCACTTTATAGATGTTAACATACAGCGGCAACAGCACAGAAAGACACAGCAAAGAAACCCCTAAAAGAGCCGTAATAGGGGTCAAGGGTTCTGAGAGCATCTTGAGGACAGTCCTCAGGGAGCCACATGTGGATGGAGGAGCACAGGGTACAGGCCAGCTCCCTCTCCTGGCCAGGACAGTGACACAGCACACCCCTAGAGTCTGTTCAAAAGTCCCCACGACTATCACAACAAAGAAGAAAAGATTACAGTAATGTTAAAAAAAAAAAAAAGTCCCCACGGTCATGGCGGCCAGTGTAGAAAGAGGCCTGCAGATTTTCACGAGACGCAAGGCTTCAGGTGGAAATATGGAGGAAATGGGGCCTGAAACACCAAATATCCTCCAGTTGAAGCAGCTTTAAAGTCTTCACAGACCAACACTGCTTGGAGTTCCTGGCTGCAACTACAGTGCATGGGCCAAGAGTGAGCAGCAAGGTGAGAGGGCTGGCGGCCAGGAGTCCTTTCCCCCACAGCCCATCCAGGGGTGCTTTCCCTGCCGTCTGAGCTGTGGGGGGAAACCAGAAGGGCACAAGGTCAAGAAAGAATCAACCCAGGGTATGGCTGAGCCTACTCATCCCATCACCTTACCAGGTAGGCCTGCCTGCATGTAGCAGGCACTCTGACACTCAGGGGGCCTCCCACCTGTGACTGTACACAGAGAGCAGTGCCCCGCTGGCCCTGCCACTTGGTGTCCACTGCTTGGACCGCTGAGGTCTGCACAGAGAAGTTCTCGTTTCTGGTTGACAACCACAATGTTGTAGGTCACACTCTCTGTCCAGGAAAAACTGGAGATGGGGTGTGCTATCTGCCCACCCCCTAATTTCAAACTATTTTCCTCAGGCCAATTTCACAAAGTAATTATAAAAGGGGTGGGGACACAAGAATGAATCCTTTCAATAGCCAGAAATTTTCTTCTCAGCTTTTGTCTTTTTGTTTTTCCTCTTGGCAGAAGGAACTGGTTCCTAAATATGGAAAACACAATTAATATCCAAAGTAGCTCCAGAAATTGTATTTAAGGGATTTAAAATCTTCAACTGTGCTATTTAACCCTTAGCATGGTCTCTGCAGAGAGAGAGAGAGAGAGAGAGAGAGAGAGCAAGGCCTCAGGTGCCAGGGGTGCTCAAGGGCATCAGGGACCTGGGACAGGCCTACACCCAACCAGCACCCAAAATCGACCCTCACACCTGAGGCCCACTACTGAGCAGCCTCCGTATGTGGTGACTGGCCCAGCCTCAACATGGTGGCTCAGAGGGACCATGCAGCCTCCACTCCAGCACTCTCCACCTGTGACCTCAGCCCTCTCATACTTTCCAAGCACCCATCCACTTGGCCAACCAGCCTCATCTGACTCCTCGTTTATCCAAAGGACAGCGAGGTGCTGGGTCACCACTTCACAGGCCCCTAAAAGAGGAGCAGAAAGAAAATATGGAGACACTGCACCCACTGCTGACCCTACAGCGGGTTTTTAGAGGCAATGAACTGCACAGGAGGCAGCTGCCCAGCCTTCTCTCAGACTAAGACCCTTAAAATGAGGGCCTATATGCTCCCGCGCAAGCTATTCTCCTACAATCCAGATCATGAGAATTCTCAGAGAGCTCAAACGTACCTCCTTCCCAACAAATGTCCTTCGCTGTGCACTGAGCCCACCTTTGGCCCCCCGATCCTTGTCATCAGGCCCCACCAAACCTCCACTTACCAAACACAGCATAAATTCATATCCTCTTCCAGCCTAAGAAATAACCTCTCAGTCTCCCTGTTGGTCCCTGTGTCACCTGGGCCCATGTTCTGTACTCTGTTCTGCCCATGCCCATTTCTATGTCCACATTCCCACCCACACCCATGTCCATGTTCCTGTTCACATGCAGCCCACACCTGTGCCCATGTTCCTGTCAACATCTCTTTTGTTTTATGTTCCTGTTCACACCTATGTCCATGACCCTACCCACAGTGTCCACGCTCCTGTCTACACTTGTACTTGTGTTCTGTGCTCCATCCACCCCTGTGTCCATGTTCCTGTGCACACGCCCACATCCGTGCCCACATTCTTGCCCATGCTGACATCTATACACACTCACAACTACTGGCACTGCCTCAATAAAATAGCATCTTGGCCCCATGCTCTCATAGGACAGCTTGCACTCACTCCTCTAAGTGCAGACCCAACCCAGCCCCTTCCCCAGACATCTAGCTGGTGGAAGCTGGTTGTTTCCTCATGGATTCTCTCTCTTCTTGCCTGTTCAAAGCACTGCCTCCCAGAGCGCTTCAGTGTCCTTCCCAATGATGGCAGAGCCAGGAGTGGTAAAATCATACACACACACTACTGATACTCTCCATTTCCATTTCCTCAGGCACCCCACAAGCCTGTGCTGGGACATGCATTCTCACTCAGGTCTTCTGTGACCTAGGCTCAAGGGTCCAGCCCAGGTACCAAAGTGCACATCCTTAGTTATAAAGAGCTTCTGCACCAGGAGTGCCCCTAACCCCCCGCAGAACCTGGCAGGCAGGCAGGAGCACACTTGTGCACATCCACACAACACAGGAAGGCCCAGAGGTGGTCAGCCATGGCGGCCAAGGGCTTCCACTCAGGAACTGCTGAGAAAAGCAGTAATGCCTAAGCCAGCAAAAGCTAGCTCTAACTGTCCCTAAAGACACATACCTCTTTTGGATGAGAGATATCTACCCTAAGAGATGTGCAAAAGTGTTCACTGAAACACTGTTTCACGAGCAATAGTTAGGGCCCCGAGTATCCCCAGTGGGAGAGTGCTGGAAATGCGCTTGTGGCAGTGACCCCAACAATAGCATGCCCCACCAGGAACCCATGCCAAAATCCTCCAACTAAGACCAGACACTGCAGGTCACAAGAAGCTGCCCCCTGTGGCCCTTGTTCAGAGATAACAAATTTACTAGTGCAATTTGGTCACTATGGGCAGGGTGACCCACTATGGGTAGAACAACATTTTGAGACAACACACAAGTCAACAGTGCTCAGTCCCCACAACCCCAACCCATGCTGACGCTAAGTCCTCCTGTAGAAGTGGAGGCAAACCATCTCGCTCCCAGCCCACCAAATAACTGAGCAGACAGTCGCACACGTGCTCTGGTGTCTCCACAGTGCACACAGTCCTCTGGCTCATCACAGGACCCTTCACCTGCAGGGCACACACCTAAAAGTAGAAGCCCACGGGCTGCAGGAAGTAAACCCCACATTTACAGGCACATTAAACCTCACCCGTTAGAGGGAAGGGAGGGACTTGGAGCAGAGTGCGACTGTCACTCCCAACTTCACAACAGAGCCAGGATCTGTGGGACACACCATCACAAGGCCCCATATGCTTTATGGAATCCCAGGAAGAGAAAAAGAAAGGGGTAAATCTGAAAATCAATGGGAGGAAACTGCCCAAACCTGACAAATGCATGACTTCCCTGTGCCATGTGAGTGTGCATGTATGCAGCACCTGACTGCCTGGGCTCCATCCCTCCCGAGCTGACATTTGAAGAATAAGTGTCAAGTTTTAAGAGGGCCCAGAGGCACAATAGGTGCAGAAGCTCCCTATAGCTGAGGATGTGCCCTGAGGTGCCCTGGCTGAACTCCTGGACACAGGTTACAGAAGACCTAGCACTGGCTTGCGGGGTCCCTGTGGAACAGAAAGGAATGGGACCAGCAATGGCATATGTGGGCCCTTTTGCCATTCCAGGATCAACAAACTCCACAGAAGCCCAGAGAGGGCCATAAGGAGACAGTAATCAATTGCTGAAAACAGGAACAACAAAAAAAATCTGCAGAGAAGACTGAAGCTGAGCATCATACTTCCAAGCATGATGTCCTTCTCCAATGACTG